GCTTGTCTGGTTCTTCATCCTTCTTATGTCCTTATTTATGGTATTCAATATGTACCTGGGGAAAACTGATTCCCTTCAAGCGCCTTGGCTCTCATCAGATGTTATTTGCTTAATTAACCCTCTGTAAGTGTTAAATATAATTTTAAGCCTTCAACAAAACTGTACCTTGCCCAATCATCCTAGAAAATAGGGGAGAAAAATATAAAGTACCTAAATCCTATTCCACCAAAGAGGTGGCACTTTTAGAAGAGGACTTGGAAGACTAAGCCCTGAGATTCCCCACTGTGCAAACAAGCTTTTTATTAATGGGGCCCCTTTTGGACAGACTACACAAAGATAGACCTGTCTATGCTGGTTGATGCCTTCTCCAGTTCACATTTCTCTGGGGGGGGGGGGATAGGGTCCATCCACTGCATCTTTAGATAAAGGGCAAAATTATTCATCTTCTGCCTCCTATCCTGCAGCAATGTGCTCCCTTAATGTGCTATACCACTAACATTTGCTCCGAAGATACAGCTACAACATGTTAACTCAACACTTGATGTTGTAAAATGAATCCCATCATGGCTTCCTGGCCAAAAGCTATGCTTCTCTGTATGCAGCATATTGATCGAAGGTGAACCGACCAGGTCTGCGGGTCAGGAGTGGTGTAGATGTGAAATAAAAACTGCTTTGTCAAAACTAACCAAACGCAAACGTGTGTTTAAGCAGCAAGAGAGTAAATGTTGTTTTTTTTATTCCCATTTCATCTAAGACTGCATGGCTGAATGTTTCCTTAACTACCGTCTCTTCACGTTACCTCATTCTTCCAGAGATGTGGCATCCAATGTTCATTACCCGAATACATCCCTCTCATTATTCTGCAGACGGCTGCTTGTTTCCAATTACAGTGTGGATGAGCTACTTCTACATTAGAATTGCAAAGTGCAGCGTTGGAAATTAGCTAGCATTCACAAATCGCACTGATTACATGAAAGTGTGGAAAGAACGGTTTAATCCGGAAATGTTTAAAAATTCCTATTGTATATTAATTGGTTCAGTTGCATGCCCAGATCAAATTAGAAGAGAGAGACGTATACAAGGGCTGTTAAAGGCATTAAGGAATTAGGATATTTTATAAAGCATTAATCAAAAATAGAGGGCAGAACAGAGGGTGACCTTGTACTTAAAATACTTCAAAAGCAGAACTTTAGCTACGAAAGGACATTGTAACAATGGCTAAGCATTCAGAGTGATTTCAAATTCTAATGGTGGTGACCATTACAGCCATCAAAATAATACGAATCTTGAATGACTATACATTTACTCATACAGAACCTATAGATGAAAGTAAGATTAGATACAACTGCAATGGGCAGATGGGGACTTTCTATGCGATTGGATTCTTAATGTTATAGTTTGACATATTACCAAAGCATAAGCATTAATATACAGTACAAACAATTCTTTCTATTAATATCTAGCTACATATTTATCCTCTTCAAAAGAGAAATCCCAAGAAAACATAAGCAAGCCAAGGAAGGAATTCCATACAAAACTTCCACGTGCAGTATCACCAACTAAACTTGCATTTCTTCCAAGGACACTCACTGTATTAACCTAGTACCAGCTGACAACAAAAGGACAGATATGCACAATACAAAACATGGATTTTGCTTATTTCTCCAGGCTTGGAAACATTTGATGACCACATGAGTAATACAAAAGTAGAATGCATATTGCACAAAACACGGGGGTGGCATACTGTACCATGCTTAATTGTCATTAGGAATTTCTTGAAAAACGTATTTTGATGCATATCTATACATGTCAGTTTCCCAGGAGCAGAGACTGAAAGACCAGCTAGTTTATCGACATTTTCGCAGACTCGTATTTCAGGCTAAGAGGTCTTAAGCATCCTTCTGGAACGTCCTCTTCGACAGGAATTTCTGACTCTCAGACGCTGGCAGAAGGTTCAGTGTTCCGTGTACGATTTCAAAAGACAAACAGAAGCCCGAGAGACATAACAGTGCATGACCAATAAGCTTCTAGAAACTCCAAAAGCATGCTCGGATAGCCTGCTATAATTTGTACATCGACCTGTCTGAACCTAATACATACTGAACAGTTTAAACTGGGTGCCACTCATAAGCTCAGTGTTCTTCCAGTGTAATTTCATGACTAAAAAGTCAATTATCTGTTAAATTATTTGTTGCAAAAAGCAGAATTTCAGTTGATTCACACCATCATAACATCTAGTTCAGTTTTTATTTTCTATCCAAGAAAAGTGTTTTTTTTTGCGCCATCTTAAAAAAAATAGTATAGGTTACTTTAAGTTATTTTATTAAAGGAGCAGCTAGTTTTCCACAAGCTATTAAATTCTTGGTTCAATGTTTTGTTGTTTGCAAGTTCACCTTAGTATATATTTTTAGACTTTTAGAAACTTTATTTTGCATTTACCATGGCCCAAAACATTTCCTAAATCCATGTCCCTTGTGATTCTTAGTGACAACATTTCATTTTTTTTGTTATAAATAGTAGCAAATATTTTAAACTGATAGGTTACTTAAGCATGCAGAGCACCTCAGACATGTATATACCAATAAGTCCCATTTCACCAAGTATACAGTATTGTGTTCAGCTTTTGTTTTGATTTTAAAAACTTGTCACAAAACTAATCTCCCAAGCACGTGTGATTGATAAAGTACAGTGACTGCACACAAAACCAGGCTGTGAAGTGCTTTACAAAAATAACTAAAGATGAAGGGAGAAAGGTTTTGGTGCCCTCTTCAGGAAAACTATTCCTTTTGCTCCAGTTCTTTTTGGTACTTCAGAGTTATTTAACATACTTCTGACAATGGTGAACCTTTTACCGATAATTCTTTTTTGTTATTGTTTTTATCTGCTTTAATGTGAAAGTAGGTCTCTGTATCATACTAAATTAAGAAAACACGGTACCATCAGTGACCTAAATGTATCAGCACAATAGGGACTAAATTGTCTGAATAACACACAAATTATTCATCAGTACAGCCGTGTAGGTGACTGCATAGGCACTGCATTCCAACCCAATACCCTGTCCTGAACCATAATCTTCAACCCAGGTTTTCCCGCAATACATCCTCTCTGCTGTTAGTCGGTCATCCCCTTATGCATTGGCAGCAAACACCTTGACTATTACACAAATCAGAAAATGATTCATGTCCTTTAAGCAGTAGTCTGGCCTGCCACTCTGGCACAAAGAACTACAGATCTCAGGTTTCACACGTGCATTGCACCTTACAAATGATCATAAAGAAAATTTGCATGAGAAAAGAAACAAAAGTATGGTCGCTGAATAGAAGTGAGGTTTTATCTCCACCTTGTTGAATCCTCTGATTTAAATAAAACCTTGCTAGCTTCACTGAATTACAGGATGTGCAAGAATAACACATCTGAAACAACACGCGTGTTATTCTTGCATATCATTGCAGAGGGTTTTTCAAAGATGGTGTCTGTTCTAATTTGAGTTCGAACAAACAGAAGGGCAATGCAGGAGCTCGGATCAGGGGCACCTGGTTCACCAGCAAGGGTTTCATCATTTGCAACTGCAAGTGAACCAGTGTGTCATTTATACCCTACCCCCATCACCCCACCATCAGAAATTCCTGATTTCAGATTTGAACTAGAACTTAAGTTCTAGTTCAAGTCTTCAAGTTCAAGTTCTAGTCTTCTTTTTCCTATAACTGTTGTTAAATAAAACAATACTAAAAAAAAAGATCAATGGTGGAGAGGACAAGCAGAAATAAAGAGGCAACATTACAGTCTCCTCCTTTAATCAGGGAGTCCTAACTAGGATCAATCCTGCAGTGAGCTGGGGTATTTACAACAGCTCCTTGGTGACACTGAAGTCAAAGGCTACTAGAACAAAACCACATGGGAGCCCCACTTCCTGCTCTTTAGCACTTACAGAACTTGAGGCAAGAACTTTGCCTTGTGAGGACCAGTGAGGTGATTTGGAAAATCTGTGCTCACACACGAACACAGTAGCAAATTACGATATTATCTCAAATTTAAAGCCCAGGATTCCAAAGATAGTCTCCTACTCTGCTTAGCTGAGAACAGCCAGCAGCTGGGGGTGTCCACAGAGGTTGAGGCACTGTTCTGCAGGAGGCAGGAGGTTGAGGTGTGTACTCAAACACAATAGTGGCATTTAAAGACACACTGATAACAACAGCAGACAAACTGCACCCCAGACAGACCATTAACCTACGTCTAGGGGAGATAAACACAGTGTGCTGCCTTTTTTAAAGCTACTTGCAGCAGTGTGATAAAGGTGGGTGTTTATTTCTTCCCTTGCACTGGCAGCACTTATAAAAAAAAAAACTAGAAAAATACAATGCCTTCAAGGAAATCTTTTTTTAATAGTCACAAAACCATACTGTAATACACCACAAAAGCTCAAATCAGCTGTTCATATAGCAATAATTAAAAAGGGAATAACAGTTTACCCCAATATATCCATTAACACCTTATTTTAGGTCTCCATCATGGTGTAATAATATTTTCTTAAGGATATCATAAACAGGATTATGAGTATGTTTCAGGATTAGGATTTTGTTACTAATAACTAACAGGTTACAGTAGTAACCTCCAGTAGAGGTATCGCATTTATTTCTCACCAATTACAGTTACCTATAGAAGAACTATCACATTTATGTGCTTTGGTAATAACGTAATATTCTATTCTAATCTAAAAATTACTAAAATATTGTTTGCAACCCCAGAAATGCTGGGGTTTGGGAAGGTGTTCTGTGTTTATATCAGGTGGCAGTTGCCGGTTTTGAGAATCAAATGATTTAAAATCGTCATATGTGCCACTTTCGTCAGTATACACTGCTGAATCGCCCGAGATGTTTGCTGGGATTATGTCTTAAAGGGGAAGTGAACAAGAGTAACCCACAGCAAATGACTGGCTCTCTTTTTATTGAGGGTTCTGTGTTGGTATTTCCAGCTGACAGCCTAAGGCAAGTAAATCCCACCTTTCCCTTTGAATCCAGAGCGATGGATCTTCCTCTTCTGCTTGGGGGGCACCTCATTCCTCTTCCTCAGGGCCGACCGGACCACAGCCAACTGGACCCGCGCCGCTGGGATACTCTGAGCCCTCCTGTGGGCTCCAGGCCTGAAACACACAGACGGCTTCAGGGCTGTGGCGAACAAAAGCAAGCCCCAGTCCCATCTTCTGACAAAGGAAGGCCTGCTCCCCACCTGTTCAGATCTTGACAGCAGAACCTCTGCTATTCCTGATGCACCTTAGAGCTGAGCAGAAGTGATTTGGAGTGTTTTAATGAAACTACAGCATTATTGTGTATGGAAAATGAAAAAAAAGAACAAACATAAATAGGGGCCCACAGGGAATTTGATTACGATAAAGTCAAAACCATTAAAAAAAAAATACAAATCTTGTGAGGGCACAAGAAGGGTGGAAAAAACATGATCTTACCTTCATTAGTTATAAAGGCCATTTTTTTAAAGTATGAATGATTCAGACCATCTCTTCCCAGTAAATGAGATTGCTTTCTTCACTGTTGCAGAAAATGAATTAAAATGTCTTCTGCCTTTACGTTGCAACATTTTGTGAGCAAAAGGAGGGGAGTCACTACATTAACATTGAAATATTTAAGGTTATGTACAGTCGGGACAGTCCAATATTCATATGGATCAGTGCACTTCTGTGAGGATTACTGCCTCACTAAAAGGATGCTCGGTGAAGAAAAATGTACCTCTCATCTTCCAGCAGGGATGTGCATCTTTAATAGAAGACAGACCTCTGTAGCCTCAGGCCTTACAGGGAATTAGAGTGCTTTCTTATGGCTAAGTTGACACTTGGGATCAGTCAGGAAAAGATAGATAATACTTTATTAATCCCATAGGGAAATTGATGTGTTACAGCAGTCCAGCCCAAGACGAGCAAAACAGACATCAGAATAGTTATAAAACAAAAGACAAAATAAATACATAGGTGTGTGCAAAATGTGCTGATCATAGTCACTGTAGAAACAATAAAATATGTGCAAAATGTGCATAGGTATAGATAGATTGAGTGTCAATGGAAAGTACAATGGAGCAATATGCTGTCCATAGACGAGCATATGAAGGGCAAACAGTCCTAGCCTAGGGCAGCGTTATACACCCTGACAGCCGCCGGGAGGAAAGACCTGCGGAAACGTTCCCTTGAACACCGTAGCTGGAGCAGTCTGTTGCTAAATGTGCTCCGCTGCCCAGTAACAGTCCCATGAAGTGGATGAGAGGTGTTGTTCATGATGGCTGTGAGCTTGGTCAGCATTCTCCTCAGCAAGTTTATTGAGCCTATTTGCATCTTTTGTCATGATGCTGCTGCTGCCCCAGCACACAACAGCGTAGAAGATGGCCGCCGCCACCACTGATTCATAAAAAAAGGGTGTCAACCACAGAAAATTTCTGACATGATTCCCTTTACAGCTATTGCATGAATTCTCTCTCTCTCCGCAGTTGTAAGGACTTTTTTCTTTCATTCAACTGATGGGGGAAAAAAACCCAATTGCAACTTGTGGAGTTTGAAATAAAGTGTTCTAAGAAGAAACACACAGGTAGAGCCAGGGAAGTAAATAATGCCAAATCTTTTTGGCTCCTCAGTTCAAGGCCCTCCAAATAATAATAATAATAAGAAGAAGAGAACAGACTGAGCCCTATAGTCCAGAGACCAATACCTTCAATCTGCACATTCCTCAGCCATCTGGGCCCGGAATTCTCCCAGCATGGCCGGACGAGCAGCCAAGCTTTGATCATTTTGAAGTTAGCCAGGGAATCCTTAACTTGTTTAACAACACCAATCTCCATGATTTACTTTGTGTCTGTGCGTTTGAGTGTTATCTGTAAGGGGGGGGGGGGGGGAGAG